AGCATTTTAAATCCAAAGTACGAGAAACAAGACCCCCACTGAAGGTGGCAATGACTTGGCACCACATTTGTGGCACCAACCACAGTTGACACAAGGCAAATGCAGAAAGACCCCATCAAAACTCGATATGGTTGTTCAGGCTGATAACACAACAAACACATAAAAAGATTCTGAAAAGTTTTATCTCCTCCATTATTGCGGTGCCTGTTGAGAGCCAGGCAGCCCTTTCAAGCACATCAGAAATGCCTTGATCTAGCCAGGACAGGAGACTGGCTCAGGGATTTTGTTGTATTTCAGTCACGGGGGAGGAGTAAGGGTTCTGTTCACAGGAGGGGCTGCTGCAGTTTCGATGTCCCACCAGCATCAGAGGAGGGAGAACCGTTTCTTTCTTGTATTTGCCATGTTTGGGCAGAAAAAGAAGAGGATGGAATAGCCTTACTGTATCAAAAGCCAAACAGCAAAAAGTACTCTCAGTACTTCACCCAATAAAGAACCATGAAAAATGAGCAAAAGAAAGAGATAAATAACAATGATGAGTAGAAAACTATTTCAGTCTATGGATAATGAGAAGAATGATTATTTGTAAGCAAGCTTAGTAATAGTAAAATAATAGTAGAAATAAACAGAGATCTTGGACCAATGTGCTAGCTGGAAGCTGCCCACCATCCAAGGTCACCTGCTTCTTCTGAAGGTCTTGGGTCAACTTTCTCCCGCCAAGGATCAGAAGCTTCTCCAGGACCCATGGGAATCCTCAGTTTGAGTTGCTCTGTTGGAGTAGCCCTCCAAGTGTGTGGAATTATGAGTGATCCTTTAGTTGCTGCTATGGCTGAATATTTGAGTTCCCTCAAGATTAATGTGTTGAAATCTAATGCCCAATATGATGGAATTAGGAGATGTGGCCTTTGGGAGGTACTTAGTTCATGAGGGTGGAGCCCTGATGAATGGCATTAGTGCCCTTATAATTAGGAGTGAGCAAGCTCTCTTTCCCCGTTAAGCCAAGCGAAGTTACAGTGAAAACAGTGCGGTCTGTGAAGAGGGATCTCACCAGGCATCAAACCTGCTGACACCTTGATCTTGGGCTCCCTTGCCTCAGAACTGTAAAAAATAAATTTTGTGTTTATAAGCCACTCAGTCTATGGCAATCTTTTATAGGAGTGCACATGACTTAAGAGAGTTGGATAACAAGAATGCACAGACTGAGTCATTGGGGACTTACTGCTTCACTTGTTGTTAAAAATCCATGATCAGAAACGGGCAGGCCTGGTGGCATAGTGGTTAAGTTTGCATGTTCCACTTTGGCTGTCCATGGTTCACAGGCCTGGATCTAGGGCATGGACCTAGCACCACTCATCAAGCCATGCTGTGGCAGCATGCCACACAAAGTAGAGGAAGATTGACAGATGTTAGCTCAGTGTCAATCTTCCTCACATATGGAAAGAAAAATAAATTGCTAAAAACATTAAAAAATAAATCAAGAGATCCCATCCAATGAGGTTCAAAGAAAGTTTTTCACAACTATTTCTCCCAATAGACACAATTTCCCGGTTAGAGATCATAGGAAGCTATTAAAAAAGATGCATTGGAAAAGCCGTCTTAATCTGTTGGTGACAGGAGCGGGTACAGTTCACGAATCCCTTCAGTATTTGCCATTTCTGCATGCAAGAGTGGAGGTGTTATTGGATGAAAAATCCCTAAATGCGTGATCCTTCAGTCACCAAGTCAGAAGGAGATAACCGATGAGTTCCTGTAGCGGTGGACCATAATGCCACTAGGGAGTAACTATTCCCAAGGGAGTTTGACGGTTTCTGAAGGTTTTCATAATGTTAATTTAAGGATGCCATTTTTTCAACCTTTTCGGAAGATTGTGCGTGGTAATGGCAGTATAGGTTTTGAGTAAATTAATGCTTTATGGCATTGTTTTATATTCATTCCAGTAAGATGTGTCCCACCGTCACATGATCTAAAACTTATCCAGCCACTGGGGGTGGGAGGGACGAATAGGCAGAGCCCAGAGAATTTTCCGGGCAGTAAACATACTTTCTAAGTGTACGTTCCTCCTCTGTGCTGTCTCTGCTCTGATGGACTCTCCATCCACAGAAGAGTAATGGGCACCATGTTTATCTTGAAAACACAAAAGACTGCCCCTTGCAGTGCCCACTGTCCACCAGCCGAGGATGTTAAAAATGATGATTGAGTTCTCTGTGCATCCACACCTTGACACAGACACAGGCAGGATGCCCTCTGAGATGAAATACCATGAAAGCTGTTGCATACGTGAAGTATCTTTGTAAATTAAAACCTTCTTTAAATGATTCAGTAGTGTTTAACAATACAATAATTCCACAGCTTGTGGAGAAAATGCCAACTATGACAACCCTACCCTCCTTGGGAGTGTGTTTGCCCCTCTGAGTCCAGGGAGGACTCTCACCCAGGGACTCCCCTTCTCTGTCCCTAAGGGGAGGAGGACATGCATATGGGTTGCTCCCTGTGCTGATAAACCCAGCCCCGCCCCTGTCACTGCAGCTCTGGGAGAGCAGCCCCTGCCCCCAGCATCTCTGATTATTCCATTTCTTCCAGGAGATAACTCAGACGAAGCACAGTGATTTTTGGGCTGAGCTGGGCGCTCACTTTGATCATTTTACTTTCCAACAATATGGAGAAACTGGCGATGTGTGTGTGTGTGTGTGATTTCCTAAGCATAGTTTCTCTCTGTTTGCAGGTTTCTAATGTGAGTTGCAGCTGGTGGAGCCTGGGAGGTCTCAGACACTCTCTTGTAACGGCTCTGGATTCACCTTCCTTGACATTTATGTAAACTGGATCTGTCAGTCTCCAGGAAAAGGACTGGAGTGGGTTGTTATTATTAGAAATAAAGCTAACAGTCACAAAACAGAGTACACTGCATTGTGAAAGGGAGATTCGTCATCTACAGGAGAGAATTCCAAAAGCACTGCCTTTATGCAAGTGGGCTGTCTGAAATCTGAGGACATCGCCTTCTATTACTGTGTTAGAGACAGAGTGAGAGAAAGTCAGAGCCCAGACACAAAGCTCCCTGCAGGGAGACAGGAGGGGCTGGGCTGCAGGGGCTGATCAGAACCAGCAGACACAGAGTCAGCCCCAGGAGCAGGTGCAGAGAATGTTCAGGGCTGGTTTCCTGTCAGGGTCTGGGGCTTCCTCTTCCAACAGTTTCTTGGGAAGCCTCTCTGGATTTGCAGTTCTGTGATTACCACTTATCTCTCAATTATAAAAGTTTGTTTAATTGAATAAAAAGTTTATCACGTGCATAAACACAGGGTGCCACCTGTGGAGGCAGAAATGGCTCTGTCAATGGTCACCAGGATCAGAGTCCTGAGACAGCTCAGGGGACCTGGCCATTCTTTCCATTCAGACTCAGAACAGAGACCCCAGTGGGCTTCCCTGAATAGGAAGGGCTTTTGTCCAGATTACAGCCGGGAGAGAGTCTAGGCCCAGGTCAGTGACCTGTGAAACCTGATATATTTCATGTCTGACCCTCCTCCCCATGTGCAGCTGTGCACGTGAGACAAAGAAGTGATCTGGTTCTCTCGTTTTCTGCTAATCCATTCTCTTCCTCCCTGGGCATTGTGATCACATCTCACTTTGCTCCTTCTGCTTCTGAAAGTGGCGGATATGATTTCTTTGTTCTCCATCCCAAGAATCAGGCTCTTGACCTGGGGCTCAGGTGTGGCACAGGCTGTGGCTCCTGCAGCACCTGGGAAAGGCTGAGGGGACTTTCTCAGTCTCCATTGGCCAGGACCTTCCAGCTACGCTCCATGTGTGGACTCTGGGAAATAGAACTTCACATTAATATCCTGGATATAATGATAGTTTTCTCAGTTTTACAATAGTCCTTGTTTCTAGTTTTATGTGTTTTCTATTCAAAAGTGTGATCCTTTCTGATGAACTTGAGGTTAGGGTCCTCTGGCATATCTTGTGGCCTGTCTTAAGGGAAGTGTGTGCACAGAGCCTTAGACAAAATTACACAGCCTCCACCTTCAGAATGAGGCCTTTCCCAGATGCATATAGAGAACAGCTGGCTCTTCAGTTATAATTAATGCTGCAGTGATCAACATGAGGGGGACAGGGTGCCAAGAACTTTTGGTTTTTACGATTATATATAAATATTTCCAAACGTTAGCAGTAATATATCTCTCGGAAAATTCAGGGGGAGCTCCTGCCAAAAGCAGGTTCAGATGTTGGGTCTGGTGATGTCACACTCATGCCAAGAGGACAGGACCATGTTTATTTCTACATAATTGAGCTCTCTGGAGAGAGCGGTGTAGGCCGCACAAGCTGGGGTAATATGGCTTCAGAGGGCCAGGAAAGGAGAGTGGCAATGAGACACTTTTCTTTGGGGAGTAAGGCTGGGTTCAGTGCCCTTGTGTGTGGGCAGAGGCTTGTGTGGTTTGACTCTCCCAGCAGAGACAAGGAGAGAACTCTCAGCTTTCTTAGCAGCTCGTCCAGGTGTGGGGCAGATGTGGAGGAAGGAGGGGGAGGCTTGAAAGCTGTCAGCAATCGAGCATCAAAAACTGGAGTAGGGCATTTTCTATAGGTAAAAGTTCTAATAACAGGGGAATCCAGAAAGGAGATCCAGTGTCATTGAGCGTTTAAAACAACCTGAGTTTACAGGAAACAGGAAGAGTGACTATAATTAAGCAATAGTAATGATAAGAATGATAAAGCTATTAGAATCTTTGCATGGTACATATCTACACTCAGAGTTCATCTGCTTGTCCCAAAGGTCATGGGTCAGCTGTCTATGTCCACAGAAGGTTTTCTTCTAGAGGATCTCTGAGAATCCTGAGTTAGAGGTCCTCCACGGGAGGAGCCCTCCAAAGGCATGGAATTCTGAGTTGCTTCTTCAGTTGTAAGATGTGAGCCCCAGGGGTAGACTCTGGGGTTTCAATGCTACCTTTGTTGTTAGCACAACAGCTAGGATGTCTTCAACCAGGTTCAAAAGCTGTTTTTCCCTGATGTCTCTTTAGGAAGAGAAAGCTCCTGCTTGGAGATCATGAAGAGACTGTTTAGCGTGAGGTGGGAAGGCAGCCTGAAGCTGAAGTTGGCAGGAAAGAGTGTACTACATGGCGTATGTGCTGCTCAGTTTTATGTGTCTACTAGACTGGCTCATGGAGTGTCCATGTATTTGGACAAACGTTATTCTGAGCGTGTCTGTGAAAGTGTATTTGGATGAGATTAACTTTAATGTTGGTGAACTGAACAAAAATGATTTTGCTCCAGAAGATGTGTGGGCCTGAATAAATCAATTCATGGCCTGGATACAACATAGGGCTGACTCTCCCCCAAGTGAAAGAGGATTCTTCCTGCCTGACTGCCTTTGAGCTGGGACATGACATCAGCTTTGTCCTGAATTTTGACTCCAATTGAAATGTTGTGTGTTTCAGCAGAGGAGAAAAAATTAAACAAAACTAAAAACCGTTATTTCCAAAGCATCACAAATCCTAGCACTCTTGAGAAATACACTTGCTCTCTGTATGTGTGTTTACACTCCGGTCTTTGGGTGCTTTATAATCTTGAGTAAATGCAATAGAATCTGCCATCTGGGCTGTGTTTACTGCAGGTAGGACTACATTCAAATTAGTGCTCACATTAGTGATAATTTATTTCACTTGATAATCTCCAGTTACAGATTTGACGTGTGATCCATCCACACACGGTGTTGGGACAAGGTGCTGGATGGGATTCTATAATAAATACGACAGATGCACAGAATATGCCTGAACTGAGATGACACAACTGTGAGCACAAGCTTTGTATGCAGCCTCCTGCATGCCCCACTAGACACAGCATTTGTATGTATTCACATTGACTTTGGGTTAAATATTACATGGGTTTTTACTACCTCTCCCTTATCATGAATAATTAGTTTAGTGGAAAGTAACAAAAGGGCAATTTCCACTTCTGTCTGACTGCACACCCAGTTGGGTAAGCAGTGCAGGATAGGTTGCGGAGAGACCTAAGAAAAGACCCAGAGAGGGTGAGCAGGACATATGGGCTTATTGGAAGTTACTTACAGGGAATACCCGGTTGTTGCTCGGGGCGGGGGGGGTGGGGGGGGGCAGAAGTGTGCTCCTGCAATCATGGGTGTGGAGGGGGTTGCTTATGTAGGTAAGGGACACAAAAGCTCTATGCTTGCTAAGAGGCGCTGTGGCTGGCACACCGAGCATTACCAGGAACAGTACCTCACCTGGAGGGGTTCTATGTTCCCTTACGATGTGATGTTCTTTGAGAGAGATAAGGTAAGGTCCAGGCTGACCAGGTCCTGGAGAGTTACAAATCCCAGCAAATGGGCATCCTGCCCATGAGTTTGACATCCTGCTCAATAGGGGGCCCGAAAGACTGTTAAAGAGCACACATGCTAGTGCCCGTACAACTGCCTAAACAATGAAGGCCTTAACTTGTGGACACAATGACAGCATTGCCATTTGTCACATTCAGATATGACAATGGGCTGAGTGAAGGAGGGGACATTTCTTCCAAAAAACGGGAAATGTCCCAACAGACCCTCTCTCCTGCTGCCCTGATAGAGCAATGTCGCATGTCCACAGAGACTCAGATCCGTGATGGGAAGAGGGAGATGTCATCGGGGAGGCTGACCACTTTCTGAATTTTTACCCTGAGATGGCTCAGAATCTATGAGGAGTAATTATTTGATTTATTCTGCGGCTTTAAGGAGTGGCTGAGGAGAAAACTGATGCTTATTTAGATTGTAAAGTGTTTTTGTTATATTCTGTTATTCCATTATATATTTAAGTCCACGTTTCCAATCACACGTTTCCATATCATTGACTTGCACCCCCCGTAGTTCATGCAGCACTTCATTACATAATGAGTGTTCCATTCATGTCCCTTATGTATGAAACATGGCTCACGATTGGACCTGTCATATGAAAAATTGGGGTTGTGAATCTCCTAAATATCCAGCAACATCACACTCAACTGAACTGAATATGATCCAGGAACATTCCTGTGATTCCAGGTATAGATCACGATGTCTCTCACTTTTACAATGAAACCGACAAAGGTAGTAAATTGTCCTCAAATATGTCACCACAATTCCCCATAAGTCCACACTCCATTCTCAGTTTACGCTTTCACCACTTTTCAAGGGGAAATACCAAAGCTATAATCTTTGCTTTACCAATCCCAACATATGAAACCCACCACCGTCTTCCCTTCTCTCTCTCAACAAGTGATTGGGTCATCTTGACTTGTTAATTATGGCGACCTTCAAATCATCTCATGTTAAGCTCACTACTTTGAAGAAATGCCCACTCAAGTCTTCTGACCAACTGGTAAATGAAAGGTGCTCAATATCATGAATCATCAGAGAAATGTAAGTGAAAACCACAATGAGATATCACTTCACATCTGTAAGGATGACCGTGATTTGTTTTTATAAAAAAGGACTACAATTGTTGGTGAGAATGTGGAAAAAGGGGAACCATTGTGTAATGTTGGTAGGAATGTAATTGTGGAGTCATTATGGAAAGCAGTACGGAGTCTCCTCAATAAAGTAAAAATCGAACAGCTCCTGATCGAGCAATCTCACGTCTGGGTACATCACTCAATGATATGAGATCAGGATCTCAAGGACATATCTGCACTCCCATCTCCACTGCAGCATTATTCACAAAAGCTAAGATGTGGAAATGGCCTTAATGCCCACTGATGGACGAATGTAGAAAGAAAATGTGATGTGTTCATACCATAGAATAGTATTCACCTTACAAAGATGGATATTCTGTAACATGAGACAATATGGATGGACCAGGAGGACATTACGAGGAGGGAAAGGAGCCAGTCACACAAGGACACATATTGCATGATCCCCCTTATATGATGTATCTGAAATAGTCAAATTCATAAGCACAGAACAGAATGGTAGTTGCTACGGGATGGGGGAGGAGGGAATGGCTGGTAGCTACTCAATGTCTAAAAGGTTTCAGTTATGCAAGATGAATATGTACTAGAGATCTGATGCACAACACTGTGCCTATAGGTAAAAAGATTGTACTATATACTTAAAAATCTGAAAGAGGGTACATCTTCTCTTCAGTGTTATAACCACACACAAAAGAAACCCTCCCTACATCTCTTTTTAGCATATCAAGTCAGTCATATCTAACCCCAGCAGCACTATAAGATAATCTGCTACCCAGTCATCTCGCCTTTAAATATCCCCACAAACGCCACAATCGCCTTTCAATGCTGATGACACAATCCTTTTTTTTTCATTCCTATGTTTGGACAGACCCTATAAACTTGTTCCTACCAACATAAACATATGTACACCTATCTCTAATCATCTCTGTGAGCAAGAATTTATCTCAGCCTCCCTCCAGGTGCATCAGCCCCAAAGGGCCTGGACAGACCCTTCTGCATCTGTTCATACCTCAGTGCCCAGAGGTCACCTGAGGCCAAGTGCTCACCTGGTTCTGGGTGTCGAGTGCTGTCTCTTCCCTTCCACCGTCATACAGCAGGGCAGCATGTTTGTCCAGGTCCTAACCAGAGGGTCCACAGTGGTGCTACTGATCTGGCTCAACCGACTTCTAGTGACTCTTCTGTTACCTACATTCAAGCATGAGGATGCTTTATCATTCAATTCACTTCACCAACATTATTAAACAGCCAATTGATAATACACTGCATTCAAGTTTCTGTTTTTGTAATAATAAAGAAAAATGGAATTTTCAGAGATAACTGGACCTTAGTTGGTCCATTTACATGTCATGACACTGGGTTGAGTGTGGGTTGAACTGTCTCAGTTGCACAGGTGTGACATGTCAGGGCAGGAGCAGAGCAGGAGTTCCTTGCGCCATCTGTGATGATGTCCTTTCCAGTTCCCAAGGGAGATAGTACCACTGATCACAGTGATGATAATGCCTAACATTACTGGGTGCCTACTATGAAGTTCACATGCAAACTTATTACTGGGATCCCCAAATTACAGCTTTTCAGACTTAAGACCACAATGATGAGGTCATATCCTCAGAGTTACACTTTGAGGAAGATGGAGCTGTGTTCTGATCTTCACAACTACACACTCATCAGATTTCAGCCATGATCCCAGGATTTGGTGACTTAGGGACTCAGAACGGCAGCTCTCAGCGGCCTGATTAATGGGACCTACTTTGTAGAGCAGGGAGCTTCCCTCTGGCTGTGGTGAACTCATCCACCCTGCAACCCATTCACTCTGCAGGTCTATTGCCAAGAGTCCTGAAGTCCTCTCCCCCGCTATAGGGAGAACCATTCCAGTTAATCCAAAATTCACTGGTTTTGATTAAAAATAAATGGATACTACTAGGATATATGAGTCTGTACATTGCGACCAGGATGCTGACCAGCATTGGTCAGCTGAGGGCTTTCCACCAGCTGTCTCTATTTCAAGTCCTGAAGTGAATTTAGGCCTCTCAAAGCTCTCACCCAAGAAGAGAGTCTGCAGGGCCAGGATATTCTCAACCCAACTCAGCTTCCTACAAGATGAGCAGGATCAGGGATGATGGTTATTTCAACAATGATAGCAACAGATACCATCCGAAAAAGTTCACCCTGTGCCACTAATAGAGTGTGTGATCGCTTGGCATGGACATATCCTCCTCCATAGAAATCTTGGACACACACGGTTGGAACACGTCTCACATGAAGAAATGTTCACCCAAGTCAAGGTAGTCAATACAGCCACTCTACTGTACGGCAAACATTGTATTACACCCAATTTGTTCTGAATTCAATGTGATTACATTAGTTTATGCCTCAAAACTTTGGAATAGCCCAGTTTAAACATGTGATAAGGGAGAAGGGAAAAGGATTGGAAAGGGTATCTAATAATTTAGAGGTTCTTTGATTTGTGCTGAGCATTTGATAAATGTACAGACTCTGAAAGTAGAGGCATGCTGATCTATTATCAAAGCCACCTTCGGTCCTTGGTCACATCCCCCTCACTAACCAACTCCTTCTGCACTTATTCTGACCTGGAATAAAAGAGCTCTGGGCATGGTGAGTGGACCCCAGTGTGAGACCGAGTTCTCTGAAGGCAAGAACAGCATCCTCCTCACAGGGGGAGCCCCAGAGACAGACACTTTCCCGTGTTCCCTTTCATATTTACATACAAAGATTCCCCAAAATGCAAATCTCCACTTGGACAACTAGATGAAACTACTGTGCATGTTCACTTAAATTCATGTTATGACTCATCGTGGAAAATATTTTCTGAAATTAAGGACCTCACCTGCTAGCACAGATGTGGTTCTTTATCTTTCTGGTGGCAGCTTTCAGATAAGAGTGTCACATGGATTCAGCCACGACCACATGGAGATGCTTCAAGTGAGCACAGGACTCACCGTGTTCTTCTCTGTCTCCAGGTGTCCTGTCCCAGGTGATGACTCCCCAAGGTGAGTGTCTCAGATGTCAGACATGGGGCTATGTGGATGGCTCTGAATCGTGTGACTGACAGGGACCGACTCTCCTGGTCCCCGGGGTCCTGTTGCAGGTGCAGCTGGAAGAGCTGGGCCCAGGACTGGTGAAGCCCGTGATGACCATCGCCCTCACCTGTGCTGTCTCTGGTTTCTGCATCACAGCCATCTGTGGCTGGTGCAGCTGAGTTTTCCAGAGCCCGGGGAAGGGGTTGGAAAGGACGAGATGCATCTGTGATGGTGGTAGCACAACTTATAACCCAACACGCAAAAGCTGGAGCTCTGTCCCCAGAGACATGTCCAAGAACCAGTTCTCCCTGCCGCTGAGCTCTCTGATCAGGAAGGACACAGCTGTGTGTTACTGCGCAACATGCACAATGAGGGGAAGTCAGTGTGAGTCCAGACACAAACCTCCCTGCAGGGAGACAGGAGGGGCTGGGCTGCAGGGGGCACTCACAACCAGCAGGGGCACTCACAACCACCGAGCTCCGGGAAGAGTGACAAGGATAAATACAGGGGGGCACCACAGGTGATTGTTGTTGTTGTTGTTATTTTGTCACTTTCTGAGATTTCCTTTTGTCCTCAAGGGAGCGACTCCGTTGGGACTCCCTTCCAGTTTCAATGGCACTTGTTTCACCTTCTCCATCACGGAGGAAGGAAGGAATTTCAACATATCTCTTTGTACCTCCTGATGCACCAGAGTGAGCAGAGTCCACTCCTTGGTGAGGCTCATGGAAAACCTGACCCCATCCCCTCCCTGGGGCTGGGAGGCGTTACCATCCACAGTGGTTTGTCAGAATAGAAACAGCAGCTCACGTGTGGAGGGATCGTCCTCCTTATCCCACTCTCTTTCCCACCTGGGCCCCAATCCTCGGAGAGACCCACACCCTCCAATACGTGATCCTGCCTCCTCTGATTGACTGGCGTCCGTTCTGACAGGATCCAAGATTCCCAGTCTTGGCCCATCTCTCCCTCCTCTTCCCATGGGTAGAAAAGCCCACTTGGTTTCTGGTCTCAGTATAATGTGATATTTCTCCCCTTGAAGTTCCTTAAGCTGCCCTTCTTTCCTGAACACATTGGTTTGTGTATTTTGCACCATTTATAATTCATTTGTCATGATTCCTAAAGACGGAGTCTGCCGGTAAAAATACATTTCCCCCAAGAATGGCATCAGGTGAAGGCCGGTTGGCATGCAGCAAGGCCAGGATGAAGTGGCCTCCCTGCTGAGGAACACAGAGCAAAACGACCCTGACCATAATGAATGCAGAGATCCAGGAGAGCCAGTGTGGGAAGGGGAAAGGGCTTGGGCTGGAAACTGACGGAGTCAGAATGGAGAAGTGTGTCTGAGGCAAGGTCCCTGATAGGAGGTCTTTGTGGAGGCACCCAGGCTGGGGCTGCAGACATGCACACAAGCACGGCTGGTCTCATGGGGAGAGGTTGCATCCTTGAGTGAAACTCCATCCAGAATATTGTCTTAGCCAGCTCTGCACCAAGTCGGGTAGGGGCTGCTTCCCACAGTGAGGCCTCCGGGAGCAGCCATGGAGCTGCCTGTGCTCAGGCTGAAAGATCCCACCCAGGTCTCTGGCCAGAAGCCAGGCTCCCAGCTGCACCCCTGATGCCTCGGGGCCTAAGATGAATCAGGGGATCCCCATAGGGCCTCAGTGAGTCAGAGATTGAGGGGCTGGGGGTCAGGGTCCTTTCCTCATGTTCAGGAAGTGATGACAACATGGCCGTGGCACAAGTGTACTTCCTCCTGCAATTGCTGCTCCTTGTGTGTGAGAAATGACTGGTTCTGGAGTTCGTTTCATTTATCTTCCGTAGAAACAGTAGCTATAAATACAACTCTTCAGGAGTCGTGGTTTAGTCTCTGACAATAACTGACTAGATCTATAAGTACAAAAGTGAGTTTATGAATAATTTGGAGATTTTTTCCTTCATCGCTTACAAATAGCTGTTAAAATGGTTGTACCTGATTACCTTTCCCCTAGAGTGTAATGGATCCATATCACAATGTGCCCCCATTTAATAATAAAATGTATAGATTATTTATTTGCATAGCCTCACTCATATTTCCTGACTACGCATTTCATCTGGAATCTTGCCTTCTCTACTGGCATGTTTATCTTCAGGAAGAGACTACATGTAAAAGCACAGACCCACTGTGGAGAAAAGTAGAAGACAGAGAGCACGTGCGGATCTTGTGTTTGTCCCCACAAGGGCCTCCCTTGAACACCATTCTTTGTGTCCGGGAGCAAAAGACAGAAGATAAAACTGATGAGAAACAGCTCGCCCCAGAATTCGTATAGACGCTGTGTGTTGATGGTGTATGAGGTGCTATATAGTCCAGCTTACATCACGAGGTCACAGGATGGGTGCAGCAAAAAGCTGATGGACATCCCATACAAAAGCCACAATAAACGATGTAACAGCTTCTAAAGAGAATGAGAACCCCATCCCAGGAGAGGGTACAGGGAAAGTCGGCATCAGCTGTTCTGGAGTCAGAACAGAGGAAGGAGACCCAGGCCCTGAGTGGATAGGGGAGAGTTGAGTCGAGATCAGGGAAGGGCAGGAGGAAGGAGGGCCTGGAAGGAAAGAGTCTGGGCACAAAATGGTAGGAACCAAATTTGACTTGTCTTAAGGATTCTCAGATACCAAATATCCACTACCTTCCCTTCTCTGGCTTACACAGAAGATAAGTACAAGTGTAGAGACACCCACAGGGGCTGTGGAAGGATCAGGGTGAGCCTCAGCTCGGTTCCTCCCCACTTATAAGGACAGGGCTCCCCACATGCAAATTTCTCTTCAAGCTCTAGCGTAAAATCCACTCTTGGGCTGTGGGAGCTCACAGCTTTCTCCTAAGATGAGGCTGAGGTCTCTGGGGAAGGCAGAGTGTAGTCTAGAAGAAGATGAGGCTGTTGGGTCTTCTCCTTTGCCTGGTGACGGCTCCCCAAGGTGAGTGTCTCTGTTCTAAGACCTGGGTCAACGGGAATGGCTGTGACTGCATGTGACTGATAGAGACTGATTCTCTTTGTCCCCAGGTGTCCTGTCCCAGGTGCAGCTGAAGGAGTCGGGCCCAGGACAGGTGAAGCCCTCACAGACCCTCTCCCTCACCTGCACTGTCACTGGAGGCTCCATCACAAGCAGGTATTATGGCTGGAGCTGGATCCGCCAGACCCCAGGGAAGGGGCTGGAGTACATTGGGAGCATAGCTTATAGTGGTAGCACTTACTACAGCCCATCCTTCAAGAGCCGCGCCTCCATCTCCAGAGACACGTCCAAGAACCAGTTCTCCCTGCAGCTGAGCTCCGTGACCACCGAGGACACGGCCGTTTATTACTGTGCAAGTGACACAGTGAGAGGAAGTCAGTGTGAGCCCAGACACAAACCTCCTGCAGGGAGACAGGAGGGGCTGGGCTGCAGTGGATGCTCAAGGCCGCCGGGTGGCACTCAGGACCACCAACTAGTGCTAAAGACCCACAGAGCACAGAGACTGCACCCAGGAGCAGGTGGAGAGGAGGGATGGGGAAGAATCTTCCTGTGACCTCAGGGATTTCCTCTCCAAGCCCTCAGGGACACTTCAGTTTCTGTTCTTCTGGCTCTGTTTTCTCATATGCTCAGTGCAGCCAACAAAGTTGGAGATAACATTCTCTCTTGAAGATGAGATTTCTTCTAGAGAACTTGTTTCAAGTTCCTAGAGGCTCTGATTTTTTGTCTTGACAAAGGCAACACACTGAGGATTCTCATCATCCCTGAGAAACCAGCTCGTCTTCTCTGCCCTCAGAAGGGCCCACACTGACATCACACGTAATGCAAATCCCCCTAGGACATCTGCCCCTTGGGTCTCTTTCTTCTCGAGGCTACAGTTTTAGTCTTGCTCATTATCTACTTGGGTGGACATTGATATCAGGGACTGACCCCTTTCGTGGCTGCCTCTCAGTCTCCTGAACAGAAAAGCAGCCCAGCTAAGGGGAGGCAGCCCTCAGCCTTCCCCATGAAACAGACAGGAAGATAAACAAAGAGATGAAAAAACATCACAGTCACTCTGAGTCCTGTTCTGGGTGGGTCTCTGAAAGCTGCCCTGGCTGGGCTGGGTCTCTCAGTTTCCACAGGAAAATCCAAAGGGATTATGAGAACCAGCTGGTCAGAGTCCTGATCCTTGCCCACTCTCAGCTTCCCTCCATCATCCCACAGAAACCCACCCATGTTCGCCCTCTGTTTCCCGTTTCTAAATTCTCACTGAATCTCTCCTAGACCCTGACTCCATCAGGCTGGAGCCTTGATCATTCTTGCCCCATCCCTCACTGAGTTTCACACACGGAGTGAGGCTTGATGACTAATCTCAACAATGATGGCAGAGAGTACAGTGGTACTGACTGGGGAATATGTGGCTTAAGTTATGCTTCAGCAGAAAAATGGAACATTGACAACAAATGTTCTTGTACCACAGTACGAGCCATGAAATAAATTTGGACTCAAAACTTCAAGCTTTTTCCGTTGGAAGGACAGTTTAAAGAGGATGAAAAGACGCACCGTTGTCTGAGCTAACAGTTCCTCTGTGGTCCTTCCTTTTCGCTCGTCTGTTGACTCTGGGGATTCCCTAGAGATGCTTAAATGACTTCTGAAATGCACACTGTCTTTGAGCGTCTTTGCCTTCTTATCATTCCAGACCCCTCTGGATGCAGGCGTAAGTGTGGGGTGGGTGAGCCTGCTCTGGTCAGTGCTTGGTCTTTCTTTTCAACAGCCTGCAATTCTGACGCTGATAATGGCCCTGATATTAGTTTCCCTACATTATGCCCAGCATCTGTGGTGTTAAAACCAAAGCTCTCATTCCCTGCTTACTCCCTGGCTTGGATCCTGAATCCACTGTACCTCCATGGAGACAAATGGCCAAGGACAACCACCTGGATGTGTTGTCTT